GGGCTGCGGTACCGCCCGCCGCCGGGAGGGCAGCGGGAAGGGGACTGCCGGCGGTGGCCACCGCGGAGGCCGCTGGCTCGCTCGTCGCAGCGCTCCCCCCGCCCCCCGGCGGCCATTACCTCATGGCCCAGCCCTGCCGCGGAGGAGGGGCCGCTTCGTCGCCGGGCAACCGGCCCCCTGCCGCGGCCCGGGCGGGGGAGGCCGGCGGGAGCGGAGGGGGGGGTCCGAAGGCGGCCGCGGACAGCGCCGCCCGTCACCTCTCGCCCCCGTCCCCGGCGGCGGATCCTCCGCCTGAGAGTTCACTCACCGCCGCTTCGGCCGGCGCCGGGCTCCCGCCGCCCTGACGGGGCTGGGCTCCCGCCGCCCTGACGGGGCTGCCTCCCGCGGGAGGTGGGCAGGAGGCTCCCCCGGCTCGGGGAAGGTTGTAGCTGGGGTTGAACAGAAGAAGCCTGGCCGAGCACCCAGCCCGGCTGCCGGGACGCCGGTGGGCAGGAGAACCGGCATGGGAACCGGAGAGAGAGGGTCGCGGTCAAAGTTAGACATTCAAATTACCTGTTTCTTCAAGTGAGGTAAAGGAATGAAGGAGAGGAATCTCGCCTGTGCCCTCCTGGAGAGGAGAGTTGCAGTATTGAGTGCAAGAAGTTATTAGACATCAGAATATCCCAAGAGGAAAAGACTTGTCCCACTGACAGAGAAAAAAGCTTTAATCCAAGTTTTAATAAATATAATTTTAAAAAGAAAAAAAAACAACCCAGAGGAAGTCACAACTTCTTATTTCTGCAGCTCACAGAACTAATTGTTGGAGGAGCGTTTGATTGTGTGTGTTTACTGGCAGGGGAAGAACAGGATTGTGTCCAAGGATACAGCTGGTCAGACAAAAAAGTTGCAGCCGTGCTGGTGACAGGATTCCGGAAGCGTGGGATGTGTGTTAACCTCCAGCGAGTGCAAATGTATGTGGGGTTTGACCCCGAATAACCCACCCGAAGAAGTGAACCAACGCTTTACAGACGCAAACAAAGAGAATCACAGATGGGGACGTGCCTGGGTGACAGAAAAGAGAGGAGAAATGTGACAAGGACAAGAGAGGATTCACAGGCGCCTGCCGAGCAGATCCCCTGGAGGTGACCAAGGGTGCAGTTAGATGGGGTGAGTGAGTCAACCCCAAAGCTTGCTGCTCCCCAAAGGAGCAGGCTGCTCGCTCCGCGTCTCCTGTGGAGGAGCCAGGCACTCCTGGGTTTTTCCCTGGTCAGTGACTCAGTTTACTAACCTGACAGAGAACTAATGATATTTTTTTCCTTTTCAGTTTTCTGCCAGAAAGGTGAATAGATTCCCCCTGAAGTCATAAAAGTATCAGGAGTGAGCACAAAGGAAGAGTTGAAACCGTTTGGCTGGGAGGAACAGGACCATCCCTTTGGTGATACAGCACTCTTAAATCATCTCCGTAGTCTCATCTAACTCCTCCTTAATAGAAACTTCATGTTACTGCTAGGAAGTCTAACATGTAGGTGTCATTGAAAAGGTTGGTCACTTCCACTTCTCACCCTCAGTTAGATTCTCCCATTGCTTCCTTTATGCCCAGTCTTGTATACGTGTGACCCTGGGGCTTAGCCAGTGAGCAAGCTAAATCAGGAGGTTTTTTTAGAAAGATAGTTTTCTGATTAATTCCTGAAACAGTTAACAAGAGAGTCAGATGAGTGGCAGAGGTTGCACAAGAGAAGGAACAAGACCGAGCGCTTGCAAACAATGGATTGAGCTTTTCAGCAGCAGCTGGGCACTTCTTACGTGGTGTAACATAAACCAAAGGCAGCAGTGAGGAGGAGTGGTCTGTAAGTGAAGAAGTACTTTTGAGGAGCAGAATTTGCTCTGTGCTTTACAGAGTGGCAATGAGAAGAGAGGGAAAAAAAAAAAAAAAGATAGGCTGGTAAGGGATTAAAAAAAAAATTTCAGTTCCGCAAAACCAGAGGAAGACGCACAACAGAGGCATCTTGGAACCAGAGCACAGGAAGAAAATCTGATATTGAAAAAACAGAAGGCAGAAATGATCTGTGGCAGATGGAAAACCAAGAAGTGGAAAAGTGAAGATTCAAACCAAAAATAGAGAGGAAGAAGTCTGCATGATTAGAAACTTCTTGTTGAGAAGAACCAATTGACCTGTCACGTCTGTAAGGAACAAGGATTTGAGATGTGCTGCTGAGACTGAAAAGCGTCCTGTTAGAGTCAGCAGAAGTCCTTCACAGAGGGAAAAATGTCAACAACACGCACTATTTATACACAAACACAGTGTGTGGGAGTACATCAGGGGAGAGAACCTGCAACTACAGGATTGCCAGCCCCTCGCATGCAAGGTGGGTGTCTGGACGCTGGCCGTGGGATGTGGTAGCAGTTGTTTGGTTGCTGCACCCAATCCTCCTTATGATTTTTTGTTGTGTGGTACTTTAGTGCATACAAGCATACTCTGTCGTATTCTTAACGCTACCTCAATTAATCCACCTAGCAATTCTGAAGCTGGCAATTGACACAGTAACTAGATACTTTAAAAAGTTTCCTAGGTTTCTGTGCTCTCTTTCTGTTTTCATTATCCTCCTCATTTCTTCTCTCTTCTTGATTATCACATTATATTTATCACTTTTGTTTATATTCATTCTCAATTTTGCTTCCTTGATAACATATCTAGAAGACACTTCTTATTTCTGCCCTGCTAAAAGAGAAGACTTATCAAATATACTTTTCAGTGAGCATGCTGGTTTTTCTCTTGCATGTTCCTCATTTGCTGTCTCCAGACTTTCCTTTAAATTTCCTGTAAATCAATCACAGAATACAATATTGGTTTTACAGCATTTGAAAATTCAGTTTCAGAAATCTCTGGTTGGTTTGTCAGCCAAAGATCCCAATTACAGCTAGGACTGTAAAGTAGATGGTTTTAACCTTGGAGAACAAGCTAATTCCAACAAATGAACTGAGAAAAAAATAATCACTAAAACATATCCCACAAATGTGTTTCTGAATAGCTGCGTTGGGGATTTAAGAAGAAAGGAGTTGTGGTGCTTCCTCTTTTTGTCCTTCCTGCTGATCCCTGGTGTTACTGGCCCCATTTCTCACACTTTTATATGCGCTAAGAAATGCTGCAAGTCCTTTGCAAGGATCTACGAAGTGTCTGCACAACGCTGTCTGCACCACATCTTTCCTTGTTTAAATGTTTTCCATAAACCTGTAAAGCTATCATTGTTTTCACTTGAATATCAAAACATAAATTCTTGCAAGTTGTCTGACTAAGCATGTGGAAATTAAAACTGTGAGTACTTCTGATGGATTTTTCTGGTGGTTTTTTGGTTTTATTTGTTTGTTTTGCTGGTATGAAATGTTGCCTTTTCTGGAAGAATCAAATCAGCAGAAAAGCCTTTTCTTGTTCAGAGCTCTATGCTTCCTTCAGGTCGCATTAGCCAGCACCAATGCTTCCTCCTCCTTCAACTGCTTCTCTACTGGAAATGTCTTCCCTGTAAGGGGCAGCATCTTTCAGGAGCAATGCCAGCTTATGGCATTGGTCTGAAGTGTTACTGCAACTGTGACCTAAGGAGAGCAGACACATGTAATTTGAAAAAGAACACAAGGAAAATGAGAGGCTAAATCAAAAAAAGTGGAAGTTTACATGCAAGTTACAGCATAAACACAAACAGAGGAGACAAATAAAATGAAGGTAAAAGGTCTTAAGGAGAAAACTCATTTAAAATGCCCTGCAGAGAGGATCATATGTAATAATTATGGCAAAAAAAAAAGAGTATTATTCCAGAGTTTACAGTCTGAAAACATGAAGAAAGCAAACAGTGACTCAGAGGATGGGGTTTGCACATATTTGACGTTAATGAAATGCAAGTTGGAATAAATAGTTTGTAAAGCTCAGATTAGCATTCGAACTGAAGACAAGTGCACAAACAAAGAGGAAATTAAATGCAAGATAGTGGGATAATGATAAATGTGCCAGGCATGCATTTTGCAAGAAAAGGAAAAAAAAAAGTGCAATCAAGCAAAGCCAAATTAAAATTGCACTGTGGAATGATGATAATACCTTCAAGACATTGTGAATTCTAATCAGGATGCAAAGGATATCCTGAGTATACAGGCTGAATCTTCAGAATACGCAACATAAAAGCCATTGCTTTCTGCTGAAACAGTGAATCTGTAGTTGATAACAAAGCATTTGACTCTTGCGTGAGTCCAAACTGCTGAATGTATTTGAAGAAAATGGGATGTCCTTCCAACATGTAATACCTAGAACAGATGATGTAATTCAACCAGTACAACATCTGCTTTACGCACGTCCTATTGCATTAGAATAAAGGCTGATACGAACACTGAAATACACAGAAAAAGAAAGCATCACTAATAATTTTACATAATCTCAAAATTACATAACCAGCATGATAATCACTGAAAAGCAAGATTTTGATCAGCCTTCCTGCATAAGCAAGGTGGGCATCTCATATTTTGGAAACCAGCAGGTAGGCTTAGGCGTTGAGAATTCTGTATATAATGAACCTTGCAGCAGAAAAGTATCAGCTCTGCCAACCAGCCTCCCAAACCAGCATCAGAGCTGAGGATACTCTGGAATGTGGTATGAGGAATGCCTGGCAGAAGCTGTGGTAGTCTGTAACAATTAACCCCATCTCATTAGCAGATAAAACTGAATAAAAACAAACAAACAAACAAAGAGGAAGTTGGTTTTTACTTCAGTATCATATACAGAGCAGTTGCTGACTTCCCAAGGAAATGGAATGATTTGGGGAAGATAAAAGTAGCTTGAAATATGCCAACCTTTTCAGGTAATAAACTCAGAGAGTATTAAAAATTGCAGAGTATCTTACCACATCTGTTCCAAATCTTAGACACATGCAAAGCATTGAGACCATAATGGAGGAAGAGGTAACAAAGGCATGCTATACATGCAGTACTGGTGACCTTACAAGTTGATCCAGTGAGGTGACATTGGGAGCCCTGTTCTTATAGAAGAAACCACTAGTAGTTTTTGCCTCACCAGTGAAACAAACACATCAGCAAGGACTGGTTTGCAATATTTCCACACTGAAAAGGTCAGCTCTACGATTGAGAAAACAAATTTCCAAATAGAAAAATCCCAGAAGCTACCAAAAGAATTTGAAAAATCATTGCTACAACCAAATATCATCAGCTTACAATACTGAGACTGTAACATTTGAATTTATTTGATGACTTTGGGAAGGACCACTGAATACCTTGTACCAGAAAAACGAGGTGACTAAATCATGAGAACCTTAATATTACCACAGAAATGCAGCAAAAAGAAAGAAAAACACATAAAGTTTCACTCAAACAATGAAAGTATGTGCTAGTTTCAAGCAGATGTTGGAAAAGAATCTGAGAATAAAAATTGCAAGATAAAATGTGCTTATGTTCATGTCCATTGTTCTGCTAAAATGGTCAAAGACCAGAAAAGCAGCCCCATGTACCTCCCAGGAATAACAGAACTGTCAAGGCAAATGGAACATAATAATATTATATATGAGCACTGAATCATCATACCCAGGACACTGAGAATAGAAACCCTCTTGAGAACAGGGTCAGTCTGGAATAGAAAGAAACACCATGTACTAGCAAGATGGGATAGAGCATGAGTAATCATGATAGCTGGGAGAGAACCTCGTACATGTGACAGCATAAACCAGAAGTGTACAGCATCTTCAGTGGACACTGGAGCAAACTAAAGAACAGATCTTCTCACTCAAGGCAAACAAAACATTGAAACATAGCTTAGTATCACCGGACCCATTGAGGGCAGAGCAAGCAAAGTGTTTAAGCATTCCTGAAATACATGGTTTCAATCACAAGATCTGTTTACCTTAAATTAGATCATATATTTATTTGAGAACAAGAATTTGATTACATCTGGCTGTCCCATATAATAGCCAGGCAAAAAGTGAGGCTGAGTTTGCTGTACAAACAAGAATTTGATTACATCTGGCTGTCCCACATAATAGCCAGGCAAAAAAGTGAGTCTGAGTTTGCTGTACGGATTGCTAAGAGTATTGAAATGGTGCAAACAGCAAAGAGAATATTTTGCATTCCGTTCTACAATGTTGAAAATATTCCCACAGAGAAGTTTACTGCACTTGAGTACAATGCTTGAAGTCATGTTCAGTAACAGACTGAAGGAGTAACAGACTAAAACAAGACAAAAAAGACCAAAGTCTTAAAATTACAGGCCTGATTTGTATTTTTATTTAGATTCTTTCTTCAAGATAACTCTGGTACTGCAATTGACACATTTAAAGAGAGAATTCCTGATTCTTATACCAAGTCAAAGGGAAAATTCCCCCTCTGGAGTCTATCGAAATTGTGTACCCAAATGGTGAGAAAGATACAGACATGTAATGAAGTGTGTATCAATAACAAAAAAATGCTATAGTTCCTAACTAAGAGGTACTGGAAAAAGATAGCTGTGAGTCAACATGTTCCTCATGTCTGCTACTGATTAACGCTGAAAATTCTTCATCATGAAGACATTCAATTTGAAAGTCCATGAATCTCTGAGTTATTTGTTATTAAAGCATTCTTTTGTGTTTCTCTCAGTTCTTTGTAATGCTATTGCCACTATTATATGAAGATCTCAAAAGACTTTTTTAATGTTAAATTTCATACCATCTCACTCACCCAAAATGGGATATCTACCCCCTTTGTACAAAAAAAATATCCTAACCTGGTCTAATTTAGCATAAAGCTGTACATAGGATGAAATACTAGAAATATGGAAGCAAAGGCAGTGACTTGATAGTTATCATGCCTTAGTTTTATCCTCTTGGACAGGGACAATGAAATTAAATGACTTTTCTAAGACCTGCCATGAAACTGAACTGCTGTCAGGTCTGGTCTGCAATTGAGCTAATGTTCTATTTATTCTTCTTTATATTGGCCACCCTCATCAGAGTCAAAGATAAAAATACACAGTTTTCTAAAATCTAAATAAATCCCTCTTCAAAGCATACTTTCATTGTGCTTACTCAAAGAAATTAGGTGACGTTTACTTATGCATTCAGTTTATTTATATCTACTCAACTACTCATTTACATTAAAAGAGAAATGAAAAATTCATTTTGCTTGTGCAAAAAGCGGTAGCTTCATTGGGAATTACAAATCAACTCTGTAATCGCTAAAAGCATATGCTGAAAAACGGGACAGGATCTGAAATTGTTAAGAAGTGAACAATTTTGCCATACACATGCACATGGTATTTTTTAATGTTTACAAGTCTGGTCAATTCTATGTGGATATCCAATAAACCAGGAAAAATTAAACCTGTGTGCAGCACCGACTTCTTGCCAGTTCTGTCGACTCTCTAACAAACCCCTAACAAACAGCTGAACTGTGACAAAACATTTCGAGAGCTGTGTAGCTAATACAGCTTGATTTCCTCCAGACCTATGCTTTGTCATCTACAGCCTCTGCTCAGAAGGCATGACAAAAAACTGAAGTCCTTCTTGCAGCTGACACCTTTCTAACATCCCTCTCCCAAACAGAGTGGTTTAGACTTTTTCCTCCCTTTTTTTCAGGGTTAGCGGTGTTTAAATTTGTCCTGAAATCTTTTCTACAGTGGGAGTGAAAAAAGTCTGATCATCTGTTATACAGCCTAAAGAGACATTGATTCCTTCCTGTTAAGAATACTATTTCTTTTATCAAAACAGTTGAGTCCGGGTTCAAAGCTGTTAGGAGGGCTGTTAGGAGGTCAAGGTGAAGGTGGGACAACAGATAAAACATAATTCTTTACAACTTCCCTTAGGAAGACATACTAAATGTCTTTAAAATGTTTTAGACTCATAGAATGATAGAATGGTTTGGGTTGGAAGGCACCTTAAAGATCATCCAGTTCCAATCCCCCTGCCCTGGGCAGGGACACCTCCCACCAGACCAGGTTGCTCCAAGCCCCATCCAGCCTGGCCTTGAACCCCTCCAGGATTGGGGCAGCCACAGCTTCTCTGGGCACCCTGTTCCAGTGCCTCACCACCCTCACAGCAAAGAATTTCTTCCTGGTATCTAATCTAATTCTCCCCTCTTTCAATTTAAAACCATTACCTCTCGCTCAGGGGCCTTAAAACCACCCAACATCAGACCACCCTAGGATGAAAAAATAATGCGAGAATTCCAGTTTACTGCTAAAAATGGAAAACGCTTGTTTCCGAGGGCTAAATGTTGTCATAACAAAGCGCCCCCCAGTGAAGACTTTGCAGATTGCCATGACAGGACCGACGACCCTATGCGTTGCCTTGTCCGACGACA